TTGGTCCGGGAACTCACGGTGATGCTGTATTGATCCGAGTGCACGAGCAGAGCTAAAGTAAGCCGAGGCTGGCAGAGCGTTGCCTTGGCAACCTCCTCCCTCATCCCTCAGGACTTTCCATCGGTCGGCCCAGCCCCTCGCACCGAAAACCACCCCCGAACCAGAGAACCGTTCCTGCGCCTCTCTCTTGCTCCCATCCCCCGTTCTCATCCCTCTGCTTCCACTTCTCTCTCTCTCTCTCTCTCTCTCTCTCTCTCTTTCTCTCACACGTACGCACATATACATATACTCTCTCTCTTACTCGAGCTCGATCTATAGGTGTTAAACGAACGCCCGGTTTCTCCTCGTGTCCCCGTATACGCTGGATCTTGCTAGATGTGGATGAAGGTTTGTACGTTTTACGTGGGCGTACGCGAAAGATCCTTTTTCCAGTCGCGCGCACGTAGAATCGCTCCTTCCGGGGTCTTCGACACGTACTTCTTCTTTTTCTTTTTCTTTTTTTCTTTTTCTTTTTTTTTTTTTTCCGCCGATATAATCTCTCCTCCGGTATCTGCCGATACTAACCGCTCCTACTTTCGTTTCACTCGCGTTCCTCGCGGGATACTTGCTTGCAGAGTTGCATCTCGGTATCTCGTTGCTATCTTGAAACGTGGGACGAGCCTTGCTTGCGGATGGATCATGGCATAATTGCAGGGATTCTTGTATAAACCAGGGGAATGGGTTGTAGAGGAACCCTTTGGTCGCTTCAGGAATTTTTGTTTGGAAGAAGATTTTTGTGTTGTTCGAAGAAAGTATTAAATTCAGAGAGAGAAAGAAAGAGAGAGAGAGAGTTTACGAGATGAAATAACAATTTGTATGATTTAGTTTCGAGAAGGAATCAATTTCTTTGAAATCTTAAGATAATGTCAACCGTACTTCGATTGCCCGAAATTCGAGAGATTCCTTCGTGGAACAAGCCGTTTACGATCGAGGGTGCTCGACCCAGAAAGATTCTGTATTTATTTTGCTACAGATACAGAACGCGTGCAATTTATCAAGTTTAATCGTCTGGAAACGAATTCTATTTTCTTTCGTGTAATTTATCTATTTTATGCGATACGCAATCTTTTTTTTTTTTTTTCACGTGTTTAAAGGCAAACGATGACGGTGCACAATTTAATAAATTGAAAAAATGTGAACACAAAAGTTCGATGACGGTATGATATCCGCTAACTCCTTAAACAATTCGAGTCTGTTATATAGTATTACAGCCCTCATTTCTGTGCCAAAGATTTGGCCACTTGGAGAACTCGCTTGGGGGTTGAGAGACTGCAATATTATGCCGAATTGCGTACAGTAAACATTTCTGCTAGAACTAAAACTAACCCCTTACAGCCATCTCGGCCAAGAGGAATAAACGCGTAGTACGATTCTGATTCTATTGTATTATCGATATTACAATTTGAAATTCTGAATGGACGAAGATATTTTTAAAACAGCCAATCTAAATTCGTGTAAATTCTGTATGAAATATAATTTCTTCGTTCGAAAACAATTTTTATTTAATCTTTATGTTAAAGAAAAAGAAAAGGTACACGTAATTTTGATCGATAATAAACATTTTTATATGATTTCGTAAATTTAGACACGACGCAAAAACATTTGTCACAAGCCAGAAACTTCAAGTATGATAAATGTGTGGTTCGAGAAACATCTTTGGAATTGTATAAATCTCATCCACGCAAAATGTTTCCGGATTTCATGGATCTATTTTACATGTGGTAGCGAGCCAAGTATGACGTAGCTGGATTCTCCCGACACTTTGAAATTCTAGTTGCATTCGCGTAAAACAAATTTCCTTCCTTTCTGGCACGGACAAATATGGAATATGGGTGATGTTTTTATTACGTCTTCCCAATATTCTTCCCCTGCATAAATCTATTTTAATTCTTCCCCGAAAAGAAAGCTCCTTTCGGAAAGCACGAAAATTAAATCGAGTAACGGTGGTAAGTTTTTACGATGAAAATATTCTATTCTCCAATTTAACAACAATAAAATTGCGTAGAAAATAAAAAGCGAATTCTAGATAGACAGAAAGAGAGAACGAGAGAGAGAGAAATATAAAAATTCAACTCCCCTTCTCTCTCTCTCTCTCTCTCTCTCTCTCTCTC